AAAAACATTTTGAAGTTCTAATGGCTATTTTAGGAATAGACCTAAAATAAGGGAAGCAGATTTCAAGGAATATTGCCTGTTTCTTATGGACAATTTATGTGGATGTGATAAAATTGCTCTCTTCCATTTATTGCATGCTAAGAGACAATGTATGGGTTTAGCAGCACAAAGGCTTGGCCACAGGAGTTGGAAATTTAGGAAAGAGATAGAAAGTGATTTGGCAACATATTTCTTTCATTCACTATCAAGCTATGACTGTTCCATCATATTGCCCAAGACATGTGTATTTGTAACAAGAATTTGTAGTCAAAGATGCATTGATTTGGTTTCTTACTGTATTAAGCTGCAGTCTAGAACTGGATTGAAAGAGGAATTGACTTGTTCTGCTGTGCTCTGGCCCAGGAAAAGCATCTGCTCAGCTGGCAAACTTTGTAGATAAATTTAAAGTTCTTAGTGGGCCACTGTGACATTTAATGGTGATACTCACCAAGGCTTTTTGTAAAGGACCCTTAATAGTAACATTTTTACCATTATTCTGTCTTTCATTTTTCACCAATATTGTACTTTTAGTTTGTATCTAGGATAATAGTGTATGGTGGTATGCTGTGGTTTTGTTCTGGGTTTTTTTTTCCCATATTATGTGGAAATGGATTCTGTCTTAGTCTTTGTAGATTTTTAAAGTTTTGTATAGGCATGTATTTACTTGTATCATTTGTCCTTACACAGTTAAGAATAATATAAAAGAAGAGAAGAAACTTAGTTTTGTTTCATTATGGTTGATGAAAAGCATACCTTAATAGGGAGCTATTGAAGGCTCTTTTTATTTTACTGTCTATGGCAATTTTTAAATACATGTAAAAGTCTGCCACTTGTGTTGCCTGAATTGGAGAGAAAGGAGCATTAATATATTTCAAAGACTGAACACACTCTATCTTTCTCTGACTTTATTTATACATCCAAAGTGGATTTATGTGTAGTTCAGAGTAAGGAATTTTGCTTTGTTTCGAAGCAGGAGAAACACGAGTTGATTGAGTTTCTCTTTCCTAGATTTGTCTTCTATAACTCACTACCTCAGCCATAGAAATTTTTGCCTATTGTACCTTGAAGATTTATAAGAACACTGTGAATCAGATTAACCATGCTGTCCTGAAGTTCACTTTCTCCCTGATGCTTACCTGTGCTTGTTTGAAGTACTTTGTTGATCTCAGCAATCACAGCTTTGAACTTCTTTGAACTGTACAACATCCATCACATATTCCAAAGCACTGAATACTAATGTTCTTTTGTATTTTGAAATGCCTATGGAAATTTATGGGAATTTGGGGTTGGGGTTTATCCACAAGCTTCTGTGGTTCCTTTCCTTGACTTCCATAATTCAGTGCACATGACACTTACAGACTCTCTGTGGGCAGTTTGTTAGTGGTACTGTGGAAAGCTGTGATTATGACAGGCAGCCACAGAAATGAGATGTGTCATATTCCAGCAGTTTTCTCTGGGCTTGGTAATGGAGGAGCAGCTGATGGGATGGGACAGCGAAGCAGCAGCTGTTACAGAGCTGCTGAGAAGGTGTTCAGAGCAGTGGATTCCAGACTAGAAGCTGTGGTTTATAGGTGCAGGACTGAGTAGCATGGTACTTACGGCAGAATTTGGAGTTAGAGAATACCTGTATCTGCAGGTGCAAGTAACTTTTAGTCTGCGAGTAAGATCTGTGATGGAAGAGAGTTGGGGAATAGCTGGTGCAGAGTTTGGAGGCTTTACAAATACAGCCCTCCGAATGGAGAAACATGTGGCTATTGCTGTTTGGAAGTGTGTTTCCGTGAGCTCTTCCTTTCACAAGTAGATCAGCTGCTGGCATGTTTCTTCCCGCAGTCCTAAAGCTTGTTTGCAAGAGAGCTTATGATCAATTCCTCACTGCTTGGGTTCCATAACTGTTAAGTGGTTACCGATGGATTTATATGCCTCTTCTTTAGCCTGGAATAGGCTAAAGCTTTATCAGCAGGAAGAGTGTGGTGGGTTGACCTTGGCTGGACACCAGGTGCCCACCAAGCCGCTCTATCATTCCCCTTCCCAGAAGGAGAGACAATAAGATAGAAAATGATTCGTAGGTTGAGATAGGGCAGTTTACTAAAGCAAAAGAGAAAGTTTGCATGAAGTGAAGAGGAGAATAACAAGGTTTATTCTCTACTTCCCATTAGTAAGCGATGTCCAGGTACTTCCTGGGAAGCAGGGCAGATGTAAATAACAAGTGCCCCCTCTTCCTGCTCCTTTCCTTATCTTTTATATCTGAGCTGATGGTACAGAATATCCCTTTGGTTAGTTTGGGTCAGCTGGCCTGGTTTTGTCCCCTCTGAGAATCTTGTCCTCAACTGGGAAAGGAATATTACAGTGCTGATGCTGTGCTCAGCAGTAGCCAAAACGCTGGTGTGTTATCAACACCTTTCCAACTACCAATGCAAAGCACAGCACTGTGAGGGCTACTATGGGGAAGTGAATTCCATCTCAGCCAATACAAGGTCCCAATACAAAGAGGTATTTTCCTATCATGCTAATTGACTCCAGAAGATTAGCTGTTACTAATGTGGAGTAGTTTTAACATAGTCCATAAAGATAATATGGTTCGGACCTGAGATGTGAGCTTTGGAGTAAATGAGGGCAGATTTGCTATCCAATCACTGTTGAGATAGTGGCTACTCCTCTCATTCTAGATCGTGCTTGCTCCCTTCTTTTGTTCAGTGCAGGTTTCGTAAGATGACCAGACTAAAGGACATAGCTGTTGAATTCAAACCTTGTCCCATTTCATAATGACTGTGGAGTGGGCTTTTGGAAGACTGAGGAGAAGAGGATGTCCCCCATAGCAAATCTGGATGCTTCTTGTCATTAGATTGTCTCACTTCTGTGATTGCCATGAATTATATTTGTGAAAGCAAGAAGGAGGTTGCTGGGACAGAGTCAGAGAAAGAGACTTTGAATATTGCAGGGAGCCAGAGAAGGGTGTCAGTGCAAAGTGCCCCTAGAGACCAACAGAGCAAAGGTTGGAGTGTGTTGTGTTTGTACTTGGACCCCACAAACTATGGTTTTCTGTGTTTATCTGCCTTTTGACCCTGAAGCATACAAATTGTATTCTTTTCTAGACCAGGACACTTCACTCACTTCTCTTTTAATTACTCATAGCATTCTGTTAAACTACTGATACTAGATTACTAAATTTTTTGTCTTTACCTCTATTTGCTTCACTTGGAGAACTACATGATAAATCTCTTTTATATATGAACTCTGTACATAAAGAAATTGAGGGGGAAAAAGCCAAAACCAAAGCATGCTATCTCAAGACTAGTCTGCATGCCAACAAAGATTAAAATATTTCTTTACTTTGTCAGCATGTCCCTCCCCCATCTTACATTCATTTAGAGATGAGACATTCACAGCTGTCTGAGAGACCCTAACTGCCTCAGACATATGCACAGTTACAGAGTTTGTAGGATGCTTAGGATTCAGCAGGGGAGAATTTAAAGGGCAGCTCTGTGGTTGGTAGAACTACAGATCCTGTCTGCTTTCTTGTCACTTCCCTTGAACTAGCCACGGTGCATCAGTTGTCCAATTTGATTGAAAACAAACTTGCAAAAAAGAGGAAGAAAAAGTGCATTTAAAATCCACATGACCCATCAGAATTCTTGTAAGCTTCCACTGTACATAAGGAATGTATTTTTGACTTGTTTTTATGTAGCTGGGAGAATAGCATTAATATCCAGTTGAATCTTTTGTAACATCTTTCATATATTTTGTTGCCCTTGTTTATGAGCTCATTTCAGTTTGTTAACTTGATTTCTGTTTGATTTACATTTTTTTAAGAATTAGTCTGGTTGCTGTTTGGTGCTTCGCTTCTCAAAATTTGTGTTCATGTTTATTTAATGCTTATGCTTATCAGAAGCTATAAATAGTGGATTTTTAAATAATAAATATGCAATGTCTTATTTGCATAAAGGTCGATTTTTTTTTTTCATTCTTACAACATTTTTCCTTCAGGAAAAAAAAAGCAGAGAGAATGAGAACTAATTTTGTAGGTGCTAGAATTGTTTGATTTATTAATTTTTTTAATCCAATTAGGATGCTCCTAAACAGCCTTAGAAGCTATATTTGAAACACTGTTAAAACCAGTGTTTTTACTATCTATTTTACTGCCTTGCTGAATTCTTTTTAGATTTTTTTAATGCATTTGTGAAACAACTGTGTGATCTGATGTTGTGAAGCATAAGATTTTAATATTTTTTTCATTTTGGGCCTAGATTATCTTCGAACAGGTGAAAGAAATTTAGATGCTTTGTGTGTGTATGTGCAAATTCAGCTGGCCTGATATGTATAACATGTAAATTTTTATTTACATTTTGTGTATATTCTTTCTGCTGCTGTCAGTGCTTTTCTCGCTGTATTCTAAAATTTGCAGTTGATGTGCGAAATTTAGTTAATGAATTTATTATCCCCAGTTTTGAATGTTTATTTCACTTGGGTTATGCAAATATAAAACCAAAGAAAATGCAGTTCACTGAACACATTAATCAATTTAATTGTTCACATTAATTTAATTAAGTGTTCTTGCTTTTGTGGGAGAAAATAGGAATGTGTGTACAGCTGCTGCTTAGAAATAGTCTTTTGGTTTTCCTCTTCAAGGAAATAAAGCTGCTGATAAAGCTTTACCAAAATTCTTTGTTTTCTATATGTGACTTCTAGAACTAAATAAAATTTGATGCTCCTTGGAAATGTTTTCCTCTTGGTATTAGTTTCTGAGAAACACATTCCTGATTCATGGATTTTCAGTGATAGGACTTTGAAAACTAATGTTTGTCCCCTTGTTTTCCCCCTGGTGGCTACAGTAGTACCTGTTTGCTAGTTCACTGTGAACGAGTTGGTGAGAAGGGAATGAAGAGACAAGATGGGTTTTTTTTTTTAATTGTTTACATGTTGGTAAAATCACAATTTATGTTTTCTTTTATGTTTTCTTCCAGATTTCACAATGGTCTCTTAAATGTTAAAGATGTTCTTACAAGTTTTGACAACACGGGGAATGTCTGTAAGTCACTGTTTATTTAAAGACAGTATTATGTTGATAGAGGTCTAAATGCATCAATGTAAAATATTTCTGTATGAGCCTTCAATAACCATTTTGTTTAGCTGAGAAACTCCATTACTGTGGTCAGAGGTACCATAACATTTTACATGTTACAGGTTTACGTAGCACAGTTGTTTGTGTGGGTGCACCCTCAAGTCGTCCCAGTGCAGGTTATTTTTGGTTCTGTGACTGTGGTGGGAACATTAGAGCAGCTGAACTGGGTTGGACAAAAAAACTAGTTTAACCCACTGATTTGTGTTGGCCTTTGGCCAGCAGTAGCTGTGTGGGGAACAACAGTGTGAGAACATGGGAAGCAAACAACGGCACTTCCAGCTTAGAGTGGATAAACTCAAATCACAGAAACACAAAAGAAAACACACAGTCAAGTTGTGAAATTGCTCCCCACAGAATGTTTTGGTTCCTAAAACATGAATTCAAAAAAGCAAAAGGGGAAAAAAATTGTGCAAGAAAAATTCACTGTGGCTGTTAAATATAAAGACATCACTTATGGCTTAGGAAGTGCTGGGTCTTAGGAGAATTAATGGGGCAGTAGGATGATATGTTTGTCCTGATCTTTCACTGTTGTCTAAGCATCAGTTACTGGCTGCATTAACCTGAGACAAGATGAGCTGTAAGTGGGCCATCAATGTCTGACCCAGTATGGCTCTGCGTCAGTATACTTATTAATAAAATTATCTATGCTACTAATGGACTTGAATTATAGAATTGTGTTAGACTGTGGAAACTAAGCCGAGCAATAATATTGAAATACTTTTGATGTGATGAGTAATTACTGTTATATAATTATATACATATCATTCTTATTTGATTATTCTGCCTTATCTTTCTGATTGGTTTTCTTGTTTTCAAATATACCAATAAGGTTGGTAAAGTGAAATAATTAGGAAAAAAACTTAAATAGGGCTTTGGATCCAGAAAAAATATTGTTATATTAGTTCATTAGATAACGACTTGAGTATTTATTTTGAACGGCAGAGAAAATGTTTTGTGTGTGTGTTTAGAAGTGCTTCACACAGTGTACCTTACTCTGTGAAACATGTTAACATGATCTCTCAATCTTTGTTTTTTGTGTGAGTGCTTAAATTGTGCTCAATCTACACAAATTTCCCTGTTAACACAAATAATTTACTCCACTAAAGTTTTCATATGCTTTCCTATTGATAGGTGTGTTGTCAGCTCTTCTGTTAACTTTTTCCAGTATTTCAGCTACTTTCGTATTGATCGCAGGTGGTAGAACAAGACTTACACTCTAATAGGCACACAACTGGTGCTAACACAGGAGTAATGTGACATTTGTAGTTCTTCTTACTGTTTATCTGTATATACAAAGATTCACATTTGTCCTTCTGTATTCAGTATTTCTTTGAGGGTTCATGCTGTGCCATTATATACAATGTTTGCTAAGTCATTTCCAGATTCGTGCTCCACATTTTTAAATGTCTTTGTCTGTAAGTGTCTATCTGTATTGATCTACATATTGGTGATTTATGCCTATTTTACTATGCACTCTAGATTACACTCTGTAAGGGTAATGGTATAACTGTTATCTTCTGGCAGCATGCGGTATTAGCTTGGAGTGTAATAATCATACTTTTTTGCTACCACCTGTATGGAATAAATATTCTGTGTCCGAGCCAGAGTAACTATGTGTCTGTCACACCATCATAGTAAAGTTCCCCCAGCCATGTGTTTACTGAGCTGCTCTATTTGGCTCATACCTGGCTGAATTTCTGTGCACTCTCATTGTCACTTGATTTGAATTGTCTCTTTCTTCGACCTTTTCCTGTGTATTTTCTGACTCTCTTTGTGTTAACCCACCGTGGAAATGATGGAGGGGTCACCTCCTTTGACTTGCTAAGGTAACTACTGTTTTATTTCTAAAATTGGGTTAACTATTTTTTACAACTGCCGTAGTGTTCTATAAGAACTTTGTATTATCAAATCATAACCTACTCTAAAAAAACCCCAAATATTTCTAAAATAGTCTTTAGCAGTATCAGATTGTTTCTTCTAATACCTAATACTAACAGAGTTAGCCAGTATTGAACATACTGTCACCGCAGTGTGCTCTGTGAGGGGACACCTTGAAAAATTACAGACTTCAGTGTTCTTTTGGGACACTGCACAGCCAGAATTTATGTACTGTGCACTAAACTTCACTTAAACTATTTGGACTGAGTTGTCAGAAAAGAGGTAAATATTTTAGTTTTCTGTGTGTTTGTTTTGGCTGCGATACAGCAAATTTATTAGCAAGATTAATGTTTTGCTAGTGAATATTAGATCATGAAATAATTGTGTATTAAACAGATTAGATGTTGTAAAAACTGAAACACATTGCATATTACATCCTTTTAAAACATAATAATTTGCTTCAAACAACAAGGCTTGTGTGGTTTTAGGGGAAGTTTTTTTGTTTCTTCTAGTAAGTATTTTCTGTTAAAACAAGCTCTTTCATGGAGCATTTCTGTGCTCTTTCTGTTTCACATTTTGATCTCTCTTCTTATTGTCTTTAACAGCCACATCACCATACACCATCAAAAGAAAAGTGGTAGAGCAGACTCTAGTTAATACCACTTTTCCTATACTACCAGTAGGTATCAACTCAGTACAAGATGTGCCACTAGCTGGCAGCATTATATAAAATATCAATAAGCAGCTTTTGAGGAATACTCATGACTCTTCCAAAGGCACTGCCTTATACCAGTAAGACTTCAGGACAAAAGTGGAGACAGCTGCAGTAGCTCTAAATGGTGTATTGCAGGGTCCCAAGTGTTAACTCTGAAAATTGCCTCTGTACAATGTCTCGTTCAAACTTGGTATGTACACTTGTATTCTGTCCTTTTCAAAAAGATTTTGCATTTTCACTGTAGGATTGCTACTGTAAATGAAAACTCACACTATAAATTGCAATTAGCTTTCACTCTCCCAGAAAAATGTGAAATTTCATTCTTCTCCTGTTCCTCTCTTGTTTGTGAGAGAGTGGTTTCCACATGAAAACTCTGAATGAATTCTCCACACAGACAGGATGCAATGCTAAATGCACTTCATTCAGCTTTAATTCTATGCAAAAACAGGAGGCAGGGAAAAGAGGACTGGAATGAAGGAAAGGATCAGTCTGTTCATTTTAGACAACAATATGCCATCTGTTGAAAAGATGGTACATCCTGACACCATCTCTAGTCCTATGATAGTCCTTTAAAAGAAATGATGCATCCCAGGCCAAAGGTTCAGTGGTGGCATTGTGGGACAGCATGAGTTGGCCCCTGAAGCCACATGCCACATTCATTCTTGCAGAAGAAACTGTATAAAAATTAAGGAAAAGTCTACAAGGATGAGCTTTTGAGATTATCACCTTCCGTTGCCTTTCCAAGTGGGAGAAAGCAGTTATGACTGAAGTGCTTGTATGACTGTGTCCCTGAAGTAATAATTTTAAATTATGTATACATTTAAATTAAGTGAAATGATCAAGGTCCAAAATATAAACCTCTTTACTAATTGCCACCAGCCTATGCAAGCTACAGAGTATGTAAAGGAGAATTTCAAGAAATGAAATACAGCATGTTTTGGGATTTTCATTTAGTATCTACCTGATGTTGACACAGAAACAAGATAGTCCAGAATGCTCAAGTAGTATAAAATTGCAAATATGCTATATGTAATAACAAAACATTTTCTTGTAAACTGCACATAGAATTAGTTAATAATATAACCATTTTCAAGAAACAACATGTTCAACACGTATTCATTTTATTTTCTACTTGGTTGGGTGCACAGTTATATGTTTTAGAACTAAAAGAGCAGCAGAGGGTGCTACAGTTACAGAGCTACCCAGGCATATACTCCAAAATTGTTGTTCCTGTAGGCAAGTAAATCCTGCAAACACTTAAGCTTTCTTTTTGAGGTAGTTGTAAATAGTATAGCTTTAAATAGAATTACGTATTCACTTTTTTCTTGATTTTTTTTATTTATTTTTTGAGTTTTATTGGTGGAAAATGTTGCTCAGTTTCCTGGATATAGTTACTGTTACAAAACACCTACTCAACATCTTTAGAACTAGGTTTGTTTGTGCTAATTTTGCATTTAGAAGTTCCAGTCTCTGCAACAAATTTTATATTGGAATTTTTTTTTAAATTTTAATATGTTCTGCCTCAAGTAAATAAGCTAGTGAAACTGGAAAATGGTTTTTTCCCTTTTCATGGAAATAACAAGAGGGAAAAAGTTTTCTTAAATTTTAGACCCATATCACGTTTTTTGGAAACAGGTATCAAGGGAAAAAAAAAAGAAAAGAAAAAAATTTCTCCTTTTAGTTTGCACTTCTTTGCAGACTGTATTAATTTTAAAATTATGCTTACTTGAAACTTGTAATCATGTCATTTTTTTTTTCTTAATTTACTTAAGAAAAATATTTTAAAATCTATTCTAAAACAAAGAACCTTTTCTTCTTTCTTCCTTGCTCTCAAATAACTAGAATGAGAGGGGTGTCTTTTTTCTTGGTAGTAGTATATGAGGATGTGTTTAGAGGGCTACTTGTTTCTTCAGATCTCTCATTGCATGACTCATAGGTAGGTGAGCTCCTCTATGGAGAGATCATGTCAGCTACTGAATTATTATGCCTGGAGGGACAGATGCCATAAAGTTACCTGGGGAAAATCATAGCATGGCCTCCTTTGTGGCAGCAGAGGTGCTCCTGTATTTCATGTAATGTTACCTAGAATCAACAAGGGAACAGATTGTGTTTTTCAGGTGCTGCTGTGGAAGTTTCCCCCTTTTTTTTGAGTAAACATCTTATTTTCAGTGGTGAAAGGCACATTGACTTGAATATGCTTCTCTCTCTCCGTGACTCAGCGGGTATTCTCACCTGAAGAAACTGCCTCTCATTGTCTTCTGAGCCTCCTCTCATTCCATAGGTGTGGCAGTTTGAAATTGTTTACCAGGTCAGA